AATTTTTTATGCTATTATTACTTTTTATATAAACAAATAAAAACTTTCCGGCCGAAGTTGGTATCACCAAATTGGTATCTTTTATTATTCTAACCTTATTTTCACCCCTTTTAGGTTTCTAAAATGCATTGATTGATTCTAATTGTTGTAGCATAAATAAAAGACGATTAGAATGTGTCTTTATGCTAAAATATTTCACTTATATTATAATTTTTAATTCCGACGCCATCGCCACTGTTCATTCGGCAGTCTTCGGCAAATCTACTGCCAAATTCACAACAGTGTATATTAATAATTGTTAATCTAATATATTAACAATAATTATTAATTAATATATTAAAATTTGCCAAAAAGATGATATTATCATCATTTTGCCTTAATATTCACAGCAACATTATCTTGCCTTTTTCCGCAGCATTTATTATAGTTTTTAGTAGGATATAAAAAAAACTTATCATTTTTGTTTATAGTTTTTCTGCAATTTAAAGAGTCCATAACTAAATAATTTATAACGTACATAATTTACTAAATTTCAAACTGCAGGTACAATGCTCATAATCAGAAATAGGCCTACGGAACATCGCGTCCGCCGCGCCGTTGTTAAATCAAATTTATTTGCTAAAGTATAAATTATTAATCGATCCCAAGAATCAGTGTTTTCTCCTAAACTTTTTAGTAAATGTTTAGTTACTGTGTCGTATAAATTTCTTAAATCTTTGTGTGACTCATGAGTTAATTTAGGATGCTCAAAAATACTTTGAATATGATTGTGAATCATTAAGGCTTTATTCTCAAACCTATCCACTAACATTTGCCACGCAACTTTATAATTATTGGCTGTAACTTCTACTGATTGAATAACTTCAAGAACACTTTCCAATCCAACGAGGATTTTAAATAAAAAACTTTTGAGTTTCATTTAGAGACTCATTTTTGGTCAGTCAAACTTGTAAAGGTGTCCTTAAATTCTAACCAAGAACAATAGTGACCATTAAACTTTGGCAAGGTTATGGGGGGCAATTTTATTGACGGCTTAATACATGCATTATTTGCTATACCAATATTATTTAAACTATTATTAATACTTGCTTAAGCAAATTGATCTTGTGCCGAATTTTTATCTGATTCATTATAATAAATTTTACAAATGGATTTTGCTTTACCCACTACTTCAAAATATTTTTTCCCATATTCGGCTTCTTCCAAGTCAAGTTCGTCTACATTATTTATTAAAATACCTAATTGTAAAATAATTTCAGTAAACTCGTTTAGTCCAGGTTCAATATTCTCTAACCGAGTTTCAATTTCCCCGATTATTTCATCATTTAATTCATCTTTATTAATACTCTCAATAAATCTTTTAAATCTCGATAATTTACTTTTTAACGACGTTTTTTAGCCTTTAAATTTGCTTCCTAAGACATTTTAAAATACAGACAGAAAAATACTTTTTATTAATTAATTTATTTCTCACTAACCTCAATAGCCCTTCTTGAAGAACCCCTGGTGGAACAATCTAACTCCTCCGTTGGTTTCCGATTCACAAGATGGTTTCTGCTTTTTGCTAGTCGACCAACAATATCGATTTTACTGCGATTACGGCAGAACTAGACCTTTTAATACTGGCACTACTTATCCGGCTCGAAGGACCAATTACTTAGTTTACACGTACTCTAAAACGTTTCTATTTCAAACCGCATTAAAGCAAATTCGCATTTAGGAGGCCTTAACCAAAACGGTTTTAAAACAGCTTTGCCAACCTAAACAAAACACTCTAACTGCTAACTAACCTTACTTTTTTGGGTTTTTATTATTAATGTTATTTTGTTCATTTGGTTTTTGGATGTGTAATTGTTCCCAAGAAAAATATTCTATGAAATGGAATTTATATATTTCTATTGTGCCATTATAATAAACACAATTTTAGTTCTCCAACGGCGTAGGGTTCAAAATATGATATTAATGAAGAGGCGACAACTAGCTCGGAAAATTAATAACATAAGATTAGCTACATGCAATAATTTGTGGGCCAGAAAGGTATGGGGTAATCCATTATTTGTTTTAAGACAGGTACCCCCTAGGTATAAGAGAATATGGATGAAACCTAGGAGCGGCATATGGGAGAAAATACTGCCCACACTTGATGACGGGGACTTTCTTGAAATGTTCCGAATGACAAGAACAACTTTTGAAATGCTTTGCAGAGAATTGCATAATGAGCTAAAACCGCACTCTAACGTTATATGTCGGGAGCCAGTGTCTGTAGAAAAAAAATTGCAGTAACGGTTTATAAATTGGCAAGTTGCTGTGAATATAGAGTGGTAGGTAATGTTTTTGGCATTCACAAGTCCACAGTACATAAGTGTGTGTATGATGTTGTCAAAACCATAAATAAAATTTTATTGCCAAAGTATATCAGTATGCCCAATCAGTTTGAAGCCCAGGAAATTTCAGAATCCATCCTCAGAAAAACGAGATTTCCACAAGTAATAGGTGCAATAGGCTTGTTCCATCATATCCTATTTGTATGTTTTTTAAACGTTTTTGGATACTACTTATTATAATAAGTGCACCATTCAAATTTCAAAAACGAAATCTTTTGCCGTTTTCGAGATATGAGAGCTTAAAGTTTGTAACGGCTAGACGAGGCCACGCCCCTCGTGACGTAGTTCCACTACACCCGACTTCGGCCGTCAATCAGTTCGTAACGGAAACACTCATTTGAATTAATGTGATTTGTCATTTTATCGTTATTTAGACTATTTCGTTGGTTTATTTTCACAAGATGCATTCGGTAGGAGAAGGGTTCAATAAAGCTAATTCGGGCAATCTCCCAGAAGTGGACATTTTTATGATAATGGATTATTTTAATAAAAATAAGGAGTTTATTAGTTCAGAAATGAAGGAAATAAAGTTACAAAGGTACCTAAGTAAACCTTTTAATTTCTATTATATTTTCCTTCTAAGATATTCTCTATTGCTTAAATACCTATATCTGTATCGGAAAGCAGTGGCGGCTCGCTAGGGTATAAAAAACAAAGGGTTATTTACACTATATGAAAGAAGGCAACCTATGCATTTTCTTAACTAACCTATGCAATCTTCTTCTATTTGTAACATTAATACAATTAATTAGCATTTTGAGGCTTTTCGGCTATTTATTGAATTAACAATTGTTTATTGTTTATATTAATAATATAATTAAGTTAGAATATGAATATAATTAATATTGAATTAATACATAATAATTGTACAAGTAAATAAGAGACTTTCCTCAAATATATATTTTTTTGTTTCCTTTAATGACTAAAGTAAATTTTAAAGCGCTAGTACCTTAAAGTAATATTATTATATATCGGAGTGTGGCGAAAAACATTTTAACACGCTTGTAGAAAACTATTTTTAATTATTTTTGAAATTTTTTAAATTTTAATTTAAAAAAAAACAAAAATAAATTAATTTTGATCAATTATTAATAAATATTCTCGCGAAAAATTCACGAAGCAGAAAAAATCAGTGGTTTCATATACAGCTGACAAATACTGAATTGATTTTAAGATATGTGATTGACTAGGACTAGTTCGAGGTTGGTCCGCGAAAAGACGTAATACAATAAATATATAGAAAAATATTTCTACTTTAAGGTAAAAACTGATACGTAAGCTATGTACTTTTTTCTTACAGATCCGGCAGACAAAATTATGGTAATAATGCCATTGGATAATATGTGCAGTTAAAGCAACAGCAATCACTATGACAAGTAGTGGCAAAAATTACACCGGAGCACAAAATTAATGCAAAAAATTATAATGTACAATGCATTATTATATCCATATATTTTTTTTTACTTTTTCTGGGGTATGAGGTTTTTTTAATAAATTGAAAGATTTTTTTATGCGACGTTTCGCTCCAACATAGTGGGCTTTATCAGGCACTTAATTCTTGAAGTCGCCTTGCTAGCACCAGTCTGTATAAATTAATGTGATGACTGTGTTTTTTTACCCAAGAAAAAGTAAAAAAAATATATGGATATTATCTAAAGGTTTAAGAAGTAAGAAACAATTAAAGCATTATTTTCAATACTAGTGAAAAAAGTGTAATAGAAGCAAAGTGTAATGACTGTGCCGCATCCGAACGTGCAAACACGCAGTAGCATTTCTTATGTGGCTGCATAAATTTGATGGTTTAAAATGCGCTCCTCTTGATTGCTCTTGATCATGCATTTTAAGATCCTTGTCTACTGTATTGACCCCGAAATGAAAGTTTTCATTTACCTCCTGCCTCGCGTCTTTTAATATTTCCTTAATAATGGCTGCTTGTTCTCTTTTTTCGCCAATCCTCGAGGCTTTACAGTATTTGAAGCAGAAGATCGTTTTTTTGGCACTCAAAAATGTAAGGAATAACACCTGATTTTAATTTTATTCTTCCCGATTTCATAGTTTTTAAGTACATATATGTAATTTTTTGTCTTATTCAACCTATATTAAAAAAAATAGGAAACACTACTTGTAAGTATTAACTTACATTAAAGTGATCTTCACAACAAAATCTGGTGCCTCTGTCAGGGACAAAATCATGTCTTGCTCGTCTTAACTTTATGTCGGACGGTAAAGAAATAAATAGTTTTTCTGGGGAATTTTTATTCGTATTTGTGCATTCTGGCACTACACAACGTTTCCTTGTCTTTTTTACACTAATATTGAATAAAAGAAAGACTTTAGTACTACACTACGTTATACTATAAATTTAAAACACACTTTCTGTAATCGGGCAAAGAACAGTGTGGCACAGGTCCCACACTGTGCATTGTATCGAGCGCGGTCGCCAGCCGACCTGTGGTGCTATGACGTAGCGGCTGGCCACGCCCCTTTTTCGCGCAATTGATGTTTGTACGTGTTTTTGAGGTACTAAACGTACGAATAAAATTCTAATTTTTGGTAGATCTGTTATTTTTTAGTTGTACTTCCGATTGGTAAAATAAAAAAAAATTGTGGAACAAGCCCATTGATGGTAAGACAAATTAATTTAATTTCTTTACATTTCCAATAGTATTTAGGTTTGGTAGGTTTCTCTATAAAGATCAAAAGATAAAATTGACATCTCCCTAACAAAAAACAATTTCACCTAGCTAAAAAGAGAAGAATGGTTTATGCACAGGGTGTTTCTTAAACCTTGGGAAAAAAATTTGTGGAGTATGAAAAAAAGTTTACGTTTAAAAAAATAACTCAGGAATCACTCCATGAATTTTTCACCAATATTTAAGAAACACCCTGTATAAGACAAGACCTGAATTTTATTTTAAAGGAACACACATTCCTATATTGCCACCCAAGGAAGGTTATAGGGATTATGTTAACCGAAAATTCACTTGTTCTTCAGGGGGTTGTTGACCACTTATATAGGTAAGTTGATGCTATTAATATTTCATTAATTGATTGATATCTCTGAGAATAAATATTAATTAATTTCAGACCTAAAAATTATTTCTGGGCATATTTAGAAAACATCTTGTATATTTAGAGCCTAATATCTAATTTACTATAAACACCACCTAATATTTTTATGTAAAAAAAACCAAACCAAACATTAGCATCTTTAAAATTATGGCTATGCATTTTTTTTAACATTTTATTTTATTTTTAGATTTTGGGACATCAGCATCAACTTTCCAGGTTCATGTCATGACGCTGTGGTTTTTAAAAATTCAAATTTGTTTAAAAGAGCACACGACCTAATTCCTAAAGGCACATCTCATATAGATGGAAAAGACGTACCATTTTTCCTTCTTGGAGATCCTGCTTACCCTCTTTTAAATTGGTTACAAAAACCCTACATTGGTGTCATAGATCCCCAGGAAGAATCATTTAATTGTTATTTGAGTTCTGCCAGAATAATTGTGGAAAATGCTTTTGGCAGACTTAAAGCAAGGTGGAGGTGTTTACTTAAACGGGTAGATATACAATATTCGTTCGTGCCAAAAGTGGTCTCAGCGTGCTGTGTGCTTCACAATATTGTTGAAACCAATAAAGAGAAGTTTCTGGAACAATGGCTGAAAGCTGTGGTAGAGGCAAATATTGTTATACCACAACCTACTTCATATGTTAACAAGGAATCATGTAGTGATGCAAAATCTATTCGGGATCATTTAAAGCAATATATGGCTAAAAATTTTCCATAGCGAAAATCTGCTTTTAGACAGTAGAATCCATTTAATATTCAAATGAAGAAGTTTTTTTTTAAATTATGATGTAGTGATTATTATTACCTTAACTTGTTTTTAGTTTTTTTTTAGTTATATGCCATACCTTGTGTTGCCGGTCGACCGGCTATAGGAAAGCCCATGTACATTTTGGTACCACCTAATATTATCTCCCCTATTCAATTTAGAGCAAAATTGTATCAGGATTTTTTAAAGATCCTTGTATGATGGATTCGCATGCAAAATATGAATTTGGGTATCAAGAGATATTTTTTAAATAGTTTTGTCAAATTTCACATCGTTTTGACAAAACTTATTTAAATGATTTGACAGTTGCTGATGTTATAGTTAAGAAACGTCTCAAGTAGAATTTTTACAAATTTTAGAAAACTTTTACGAAATATCTCTTAATTGGACAAATGAAACTTATTCAAATTTTACATGCGAGTCTTAAAACAATTTTACTTTAAAATGACCAGGGGGTTCTAAAATTTACATGGGATTTGCTGTGGCCAGTCTGCCGATGCAACACATGCAATACCATGTACATAGGGTTGTTTCTTATATTTTGATACCCACCTATGTACCTTTATTTTTGGGGATAAAAAAAAACTTTAAATACAAAACTTATAGGGTTTTCCCTAAACCACCAGAATCCATCATGAGATAAAACAAATAAGCATAGTAAAACAGTCAAAAAATACGAGCTTGTGTGTTTTTAAATAGAATACCCTGTACATGATTTCAAAAATATATAATATGTCTACATTTTCTACCTATCTATCTTTGCTTTAACCGTTTTTGAAATATTTGATAATAAACATTTCATACATACTTGCGTGTTTAATGAAAAACGAGATAAAAATACAAAATAAATATGGACAATTAATTAAGGAAGTTATCAAATATTTCAAAAACGTTTAAAGTAAATGTAGACGTATTATATACTTTTAAAATCAAGAAGAAAACGTCTTTCATTGTATCTGAGTGTTCCAGGTTAAAGCAAACAAGTTGGTATTTTTTGACACCTTTGCAATGCTTATTTGTTTTATGTTATGACAAATTGGCGGTTTGAAAAACATTCAAACTTTTCAACTTTTGCATTTAAATTTTTTTTTATCCTGAAAAATAAAGGCTGTAAGTGGGCCACAATATGATGAATTACATTAAAACATTTAATGAGTACATTAAAAATAATGATCTCCTTCACTTAAGTCACACTATCGTGACACTGTGAGTAACCAAACTGACTGACTAACTATTTTCAAAGAAACTGTAAAAATGTATACGATATAATAGAAGCTACTATTTGTTATCATTAAACCATAGATTTTTTTTTGTAGATATGTATATATATATTATTTTTATATCAAACAAAAAAGAATATTTAAATAAAATATGTTCTCTAAAAATAAGGTCTTTTATTGCAAATAACATAACTAAAATAACATTTCTCATTACCTAAAATACTCTATAACTTTTTGAATCAAAAATAAAACATTTTGTCAACATGTTAGATTCTTTCCTTATTCTTTATTATTTGGAATATCAGATTTTTTTGGTTGCTGTGGACAGCTTAATCTTGAAGTATTGAAAAGAGAATTTGAAAAAGAATATGGCATTGGTAGCATACCAGTTCGCATATTGTTAAAAAATTCTTGTAAGACATTGTTTATCATAACTTCTGTGGCTTTTCATTCTTCCTCTAGTAATTGCTTTTCCCACTCCTTTTGTTCTTCAAATTCTGTTTTTAGCATTTCCGCTTGTTTTTCTAACATTCTATTTGTTTCACCTTCAATAGCAGCTTTCCAATCTTTTGTGAAGTTAGTTAAAGCTTCTTTAAAAGTATTTTTCTTTCCTATAACCAAATAAAATACATAAAGGACTATTCATTATTATACGTAGATGCATATTAGCTTACCCTTTTGAGACATCTTCTGAATTCCACTTGGTCCTGCTACTTGATTTATTTGGTTGTCAGATGCATTATTGGTTCCAGATAATACAGTTGAACTTTGGTCCACATTCTCAGAAGGCTCATCATTTATGCTTACTATAGTCTCATCTGGTTCTAAAAAAAATAATAAAATTAGTTTAATATAATACTGGACGAGAGGTTTAAGAAAATGTATACTTTGAGATATAGTAAGGAAGCTTGTGTTTTAAATGTCTAAAGTACATATTCACTTTTACATAATTCACTTTTAAGTATTTTTACCTACCTTGTTCGGAAAAATCTGAAAGTTCTGAGGTGTCCATTCCGCCATCAATTTTTACTGCCGGTCTGTGACCCAGGAGTTCTTCGAGCTCCTCCCAGAACTCGCTCTCTGATCTCTCACATCCACTAATACCGTTACTTCTTTTTGCCTTGAAATAGTTCAGTTTTAAGTGGTACAGGAGTTTTAAGAAAACCCTCTTTTCAATTCCTCTTCTACAATTTGGAAAATATTGGTATTTCTGTATCTCTTTGCATCCAATATTTTTAAAATTTGTTTTTCTTTCATAATCGATAACATAAAATGTATTTCTAAATTCGTCCAGGTTACTCTTTGGGAAGACATTTTTAATACTTATTTAACGCCTCAGAAAAACTGATAGTAAGTAGTAGCAATATCAATATTATTTTAGGTTAAAAAAACAAAATAGAACGTAAATTATTCCATGTTGGCAGCACTAGTCGCTAAAACGCTCTAGGCGTTTTCACGAGGGAAAAACCGGTTTTATTTTAGTTAATCCACATTTTTAAAACGCTTTAATACCAAATCGTTTCAGGCTTACCAAACGGTTTATCAGCGTATACACATGCGTTTTTGCCAAAATGATTCGGATAAAAACGTTTTAATTCGTATCGTGTAAACTAAGTAAATGTTTTGTATGGGGTAATAAAACCCAAAGTGGACTGTAAACACCTCTTATTTTTACTTTTGGACAGATCGACGCGAATCACATCTAGTCTAGCTCGCCATTTTGGTTGAAGAGAGTGACAGGGATGACGTTCTAGACAGTGTTGCCATTTTTTTATAATTTTAACAATGAGGTCTTAACAGCCCCTTTAAAAACTGGGGCAAAGTCTGCCTTTGACAAGGTTTTCTCCAGATTTTCATGCTGCCAGTTTCTTACTGCCTGTTGTCAATATACTTTCAAGGGCTTGAAAACAGCCACATCAGCAGGCTGCATAAGGTATGTTGCGTTAAGCGGTAACGCGTACAAGATTATACCATTATCATTGCAAAATTGGCTTAGTTCAATGGATATGTGCGAGCGATGTCCATCGACAAAAAATAATACAGGTTTTTCGATATTGTGACTCAAGATCCATTTATTAAGACGGTTCGCAACATATTCATAGAAGATGTCGGATTTCATCCATCCGCTGTCTGATTTCCGTAAAATCTAATCTGGGTGCATACTATCAGCGACCTCTTTATGTATGGGTAGGAGGGTACAGGTAGGAGGGTACACAAGGAGGGTACAGTTTTCCATCCGCCGAAAACGTTACCAGAACACTAATGTTGTCTCTTTCGGCCCCTTTCTTAACTTCAAACTAATTCTTGTAAAACTAAACGTTCTCTAACCCAGTGTGAGTACATATTATCAAACTAAAACCTCTGAAGGCGGGTATAAGGGGACAAATAACTCACAGTCTTTAAGATGTTTATTTAAATTTAAATGCTTCAAAAAAAGCAGGGGACGACATGTTTCGGGACTTAACAATTCCCATCTTCAGGCCCAGAAAGACAAACGTCAACCTACGAAGTAACACCACTCGGAAGTATTAAAATAGTGAGAGTTGTTAACATTCACCTAACAATCTCTCTCATTGTAATTGCAAAATGTATAACTTTTCAAAAGGGAAACCTTTCGTTGTAATTCTAAATAAAGGCCTATACTATAATTCTCAGACAATCTTATTTCAATTTTATATTTTCTTTTTTGACGAGTATAGTCGTTCGTCGTATAAGAATGTTTCTGTGATAAACTTGTCTTTCTGGGCCTGAAGATGGGAATTGTTAAGTCCCGAAACATGTCGCCCCCTGCTTTTTTTAAGCATTTAAATTTAAATAAACATCTTAAAGATTGTGATTTATTTGTCCCCTTACCCACCTTCGTAGGTTTTACTTTGACAAATTCTTGTATCCTCTAGGACATATATTTCCTGATTTGGGGCACATGCTAAAACCACTCTCGGCGGCGTTGAACATCCTTGTTGGGCATTTTAGAATATCGATAGCGTCTATACTCTCTAAAAATGCCTCAAGCTCTCTGAACTAGGATTTTAATATATTCCTCTGTTAAGTTGGCTCGTGTCTTATCTATTGACTCAGGTGTACATAATTAATCTTTTTGAATTAATTTTTCTATATTTTATCCTTATCTTATAATAGTACTTAAAGAAAAAACTAACTTCTAGAACTAAATATTATAAAATTAAATATGCAGGTTTGTTAGCGTTTAATAAAAAAATAATTAGAAAATTAAAACTATTAGAAAATGACATATTTAATCGCATATATAATATATTAGCGACGCTAATTTGAGTTTTTTATGTAAAATATGATTTTTTTAATATACAGGGTGAGTCTTAAATAAGTGTAAATATTTTCAGGGCTGGTAGATCTCGATAAATGAAGCATATTTTCTCTTTACCGTTTTTCAAAAAAGTCCAGAATAACCGAGATTCTTTGAAAATTAAAAAAAAAATGCAAAAAATTACATTTTCAGAACCGCTGAATCTTTTTTGGGTTTTCTTTATTGTAAATTTAATCTGCCATCTATGTTCTCCAGATGTGGATGGGCCATATGGGAAAACGGGAAAATTCCCGGTGGGCCGGTCCCGATCAGAGTTCAAAAAAGATTGGATTAGCAAAAATTAAATCGTTAATCTTCTAACTAAAGTGACGTAAGTTCCTTAGTGATCCATAACTAAGGATTATCAATCATAATCAATTTGCATCCGTATAATCGTCAGTAGCTTTTAAAGATAAACACCAATTTGTAAAATAACTATTGTAAAATGTCTTTCTCTTTCTCTGGGACACTTATAATTTTAATAATCATCTGTTTGTTCAGTTTGAATTTTTTTTATTATACAAGCTGAGTCTATAAGTGTAAATATTTTCATGGTTGGTAGATCTTAATAAAATAAACATAGTATATTCTCTTTATCAAGTTTCAAATAAGTTCAATCGAGTTATTAAAGTTTGGAAATTTAAAAAAAATGGATTTATTTAAAAAAAAATTGAGCCACATTAATTTTTCCGTAATATCAGAGATTAAGAAACTATACCGTAGAAAAATTTGCGGTTAACAAGGTGGTAACTTTGAATTCGAAAGGGCAATCATTTTCTCGGCTTGTTTCTCCAGCCCTTCTTTAGCCTCGTCCTTTACAATAGTTATTTTTTCAGTTCGTAGACATCGGTCACATGTAATTTTCTGCTCACCCTCTCCATTTGCTTCGTTAGTTTTTCCGCAAATGATATGAATAGGTAGGTAACAAACTGAACATTGATAAGTATCTGAAATTTCTTTTTCGCATATTGTACAAAATTTTCTCTCGTTGATCTTCATCATGTTCACTTTCGTCTGAATTCTTCTGATCGCACAACTTTTGCAGCTCTTTTTGTGTTTCGATTTTAGACAAAAGTTCTTCAGGAAGTGACGAATCCTTGAGACCGATTTTCTGAGGCACGCCGAACATAGCTTCATAAGGACTTTTCGTTATTCCTGTATGCAGAGACCGATTTTTATTGCTTTGCACAAATCGCAGCCCCTCAGACCATTTTGTTGTGTGTTGATTGGCCATCCATGTAACCAGCATGTCCCTTACATCTTGATATGATCTCTCTACGGACCCTTGACTCTGCGAGTGGCAAAGTTTTCCATGGACCAGCTTTAATCCGGGCCACATTTCAGCAAGATTTTTGATTATACGGTTTGCACATTCCCTACCATTGTCGCTTTGTAGAATCATAGGTGCGCCCAATAAACAGAAAATATGTAATAAATGATAGGCAACTTCTTCAGCTGTCTTTGTTTTCAATGCTCGTAGTACGGGGAATTTTGTTAAATGATCCTGATAGTTTAGGATGAAACGAAATTCTTGGTTTGCTTCACTTTGACAGCGAGAATTCATTTTCATTTGTCAAAATTGACTTCACCACTAGACCTTTTCTTAGAACTTTCTTTTTTAATTGGCATTGCTTACAAAGTAATAAATAAATTTCAATTATTTGCCGTGTTATAATACAATATTTTCTCTTGAGTTCAAAATCCATAACTAAAATAAATAAAAACACTTGTAGATCTTGAGTCCATTAAAAAAACTGAAAAAAAACCTCGTAGTCTCTTATGTCCTGCCGCCACATGAGCGGAATGAATAATGTCAAATAATTCGTGGGTCATGCAAAAATAACGCAGTTCGGCAGTTTCGTTTGTCCTCCTTTCAATTAGTTTTTCGGTTTCGCCAATTTTTAAAATATCATACCTTTTTAATCGTCGTCTTTGTTTCGAAGATATTGTATCACCGTTGCTTTTACAAGCTTTTGCCGCCTTCACCTCTCTAAGTATTTGGTCGTATCTTTCTCTTGTAAAAATATTGCTACGATCATTGCTATCACTTGTGACTTTTTGCAGTTCATCATTAAAACGTAACTTGAGGTCCTCCATGATATTTTCTAGCGACTTTCTAACCCGCACAAAGATCAAATACTAAATGAATGCTCTAGGCTCTAGCTCCTGTGGTATCGTTTACAAGCTGAGACTCGCATAAAATCGGCGACGCATTATGGTAATCGCATTAGAACAGGGCCCGTATTCTGTAACTTTGACTTAAAAACGTTACGCTTTCAAAGCGGTGAGCGCAAGTATTCGATCAGCGAAACGCAAGGCAGTCGATTTTGGTATTCTCGTTGCCATGCAAATCGTGTTCTGGATACGCGTTGAGCACATATTGGCAACATCACAATTTCTAAGTTAGCTAATAGTCAAAAGTTAATAACTGACGGATGTAACAATGAAAAATGTCATTGTTACGTGAATTTCAAAACCAATGTTGAGTTATGTCAAGCTATTTTTCTATGGATATGTCATTATTCTTGTTATACGAGGGAAGTGTTGAAGTCTCTTCTCAGCATTTTCGATGTTTTGAAGAATATTTATAGCTGCCAAGTCGTAAATTATCAATTACTTATTGAGGAATTTATAGAAGAAGTAGTAATTTTCACTAAAGAGCAAGATAACGCACAAAATCACAATTTTTTCGATTTTCACTGACAGTTCGACAAGCAAAACGATCCTTTAAGGCACTTTAAGGCAACCGTTTTCAAAGCGCTCAGCGCAATCAGTAAAGCCGTTAAGCGCGTCAGACGAGAATACCGAAATCGTTAATTATGTGCGCGATCAGCCAAAATTAACGTCATATACGATGAGCGTCTAAAAGCGCTGAGCGTTTTCAAAGTTACAAAATTCGGGCTCAGAACGCGTTCTGGCAATTGCAGGTGGCCCAAAACGCGTTCTGGGCTTCATTAAATAGCCGGAAACGATAATTCGGATATTGGCAAAATGGTAACAGCCAGAACGCGTTTTGGCCATATTTTCCGTCTATTGGCCCGAAATCGGTGTTTGCTCCTAACATATATAGTAGTGCGTCTAGAGGAGAACGATTCAGTTGACATCTGGTTTTTGATGTAGCGTGTTTGCATTATTTTAACTGTAAAGTAGGAAAATAGACGAAGAACTTATGTATTTCATTTTATTAGAGGAAGAAGAAGATGAACAGATGTTACAATATACTATAATGCAAGAAAGAGGTGCGACACACTATATATTTCAATAACGAAAGGAAGAAGGTTATTTCAACCTTCTAATTAATGGTCATTTAAGAGAAGACGAAAACAAATTTAGGGAATTTTTCCGATTGAATGTCCAACAGTTTGATTTTGTTTTGTCACTTATACAAAACGACATACAAAAGCCTGGAACAAATTTCGTGCAAGTCTCTATTACACCAGAGGAAAAATGGGCGTTAACCTTAAGGTAAGAATAAAAACAATGTTTAAAGAAAATTTGCTTTATTTTAAATGAACTTTTAAACAAATGAACTATACTATAACTCTTGATATCTTGCGTCATCATCTATATTTTCATCGTTTGATTGGTGTGAGTTTGATGAAATAAATAAAGATGCGTGATGGACGAGAATGAAAGAATGGCGGAAGATCTTTTGGTTCAAAGGAGGTAGTAGATAATATTCTGAGACGACGTAAATGTAACTGTAAACGACGAAAATTTATTCATCAGTGATGTATTACAGAGTTGAATGTGTGATTGATGCGTAGTAGATGCTGCAAGTTGGGAATTTTGTGAAATAGAAGTGGTATTGTTAATGTCAGCTCCATGGCCTGCAGTTGGGGCATTGTTATAATGACTCGAATGGTGGGGATATACTTCAGTAGAAGCACTTCCATGAGAACTTTGAGGTGTAGAAGTCATTGCTATCTTTTGTAGTTCATTTACAAGAGTTAGGATTTTAACTTTTGCGTCACTAATTAATGCAGGTGAGAACTTTTTTCTTAACTGTCAAGCTAATGCTTTTCATAAAGAAGTCTACGTCGTCTTCTTTAACTGCGATTCCCGCTTTTTATTCTGTAGTTCTTCTAGCATTTCCATACGTTTTGGGGCTCTTTCATCAAAGCCCCGGTAGAAAGCATCGATATTTTGAAGTTGGGTTTTTTCTCTTTTGGTACCATAGGCGTAGAGTAGCGACTACTAGAAGATTGAGTGTTGTTTTCTGAAACAGCAGGTTTTTGTTGTGATATTTGTATGTTAGGCGTTTCGCGTGTTGGTGGTTCCCAATTTTCTATATCATGATCATCCAGGGTACTTTGGTCATCCCCATTGGTTGCAAACTCTTCGCCACTCGGTGGCGGTCTTGTTCCAAACTGGTTTTCAGATAAGGTGTGTGTGTTTACGGAGCTCCTTTCTTGTTTGTTCCATTTGACTGGTTTATCGAGTAAGGCAGAACCAGTTACTAATTTTCGTTTTTTCTTATTCCTTAAATAAGTGTCTTTAATACTCTTCCACCGCTTTTTGCAGTCGTCAACTGCAAACAATAAAAAAATATATCAAAATTTATAAATATATTGATAATCTTTTTTTACGTATCTGGCTACTGGAGAGAGCGTTAGGTATCTAGGCTTTGCTTTTAAGATCTCACACAGCTCCATAAGTGTTATGGTCAAGGAAACATTAACAGCAATGTGCAAAAACTTAGTACCAATTTTTATGCCTCCGCCGACTACAGAAACGCTGAAAGCAAATACAATTGATTTTTGGGAATGATGGAATTTTCCGAATTGTGTCGCAGCGACAAACACATAAGAATTTTTTCACCTAATAAATCCGGTTCTTTATATTTTAATTACAAAGACTATCTTTCTATTGTTATGCTTGCCCTAGTTGACGCGAATTACAAATTTGTGGCTTTGGATGATGGGTCATATGGAAAAGAAGGCGACGTTTCAATTTTTATTAAATCTGCTCTTGGGCAAAAAATATTTAACTGAGAAGATTTTCTTCCTTCGGATCAAATGTTGCCCAATTCAAACAAAAAAATACCACATGTAATCATTGGAGACGAGGCGTTCCGGTTGCACAAGCATATAATGAACCCGTTTAATAAAGAATTAGGACGATCTGACAGAACAAAGCCTACATTTAACTACAAATTGAGTCGAGCACGAATACTAACTGAAAACGTTTTCGGAATACTATCTCAGGTGTTTAGAGTATTTTACACTCATATAGCTATAAAACCCGAAGTATGCGACGAACTGATAATTGCAGCTTGCTGTTTGCATAATTTACTTCGAGAAGGATACTTACGAAAAAACGGACATGCCCATTACGCATATGATCCAAATGAAAAGCAATCCGATATTATCCATAATCTTATTAGACCGGGGGGATTTCAAATTAGAAATGAGTTTATGCATTTCTTTAATAATGAAGGAGCTATGGATTGGCAAAATAAAAAAGTTACGAGAGTGTTGTAAAGTTTGTATAGAAAAAAAGCTTTTTACGATTTAGAATGTTCGGCTCAAATTTTGGAAATTCATTTATTTGTTAGGTATTGGTTACCTACATTTTATGTGAAAAGCCTTCCGACAACCTTTACCTATACTCTGACCGATATTTTCTTTGTATATTATTAACTTTAAGTGAGATGTGGAGAACGCTATCACTTTCAGTGTCTGATTCTCCAGGGTAAAGTAGAGGGGGGCAAAATGGGAATAGGTCGAAGGAAGCTATCATTGGACAGGCATACAGGACTTCCAAGCACTCCAAGTCGCTGCAGTTAACAGAACCATCTGATGAGGAAGTAAAAGATGAACGCCTACGCAGGAATCTGCACGGCACCTTAAGAAGAAGAACTTTAAGTACCTACTTGTTTAACCAATATTGAAGTTTGAACACAAAATGTATACCTTATAAGCTTAGAGTTTACATTTAACCACATTTGTTTCCATAACCTCACCTAACCTAATCTAAACATGCATAAAATAAAGAATATTATTACTTACCATCTTTTCCTGCTGAAATCGCAATTTTTTTCCACGCGTTTTCTCTAATTATGAAATTTTTATCCTCGTAGTCAAAAATACATTCATATTTTTGAACTTCTTCGATAAGAATTTCGGCATCATCCCCCGAAAAACGCGCCATTTTCCTACAGCGATCGCGACTCGACCGGTTTGTCTTTGTCCATCAGTTGCGCCGCAGTCCCTGCGTCTGGAGCGGTAACGTCGCCGGCTGAAACGCTTCATAGAGTTCACTCAAGACTTAAATATGTACCACGGCATATAAATCAATCGGCAGGCTAAAGGTGGTTCCTCACGAGAGCGGAATTGCGGAAATGCGGAACTAAAATGTCAAATTAATTTCGCGGCGTTAAAAGTTTAACTTCCAAAATTTGACCGCAAAGATCAGAAAGCGTTAGGGTCATGGGAACCCTGTAGAGATTCAACAAAAGAAAATAGGTATATCAAATTTTGTAGCATATTTTTATTGCATTATTCTTTTCTCTGACATTTGTTTTATAGTGAATAAATATTATTACTGGCGTACGATTTTGTATTTATTGCATCAATATCGTTTCTCAAAGCAACGAAAGAAAATGGGTAAAATTAAGTTAACCCGATTTATTTACAAAGGAAAGAACATGCGGATTTCTATAATTTCATAACTGAAATGCGTTTAAACGATCCTTAGAATGTATTCTACTCAATTCAAAAAACTATAATTCCCGCCCAATTCGATTTCTCTTTTTTAACATGCATTTCTTATCCTTTTCCCGCAAAAATAAATCGCCAAATAGTTAAAAATATTTTAACTTATTTGCGATGCCGCAAAATCATAGAAAGAGAATATTCGCAGTTATCAGTATGGAACAAATGGACGGCGTAAGAAATTTAGGCGAAATTTCGCTTTTCCGCGCTCGTGAGGAACTACCTTACCTCGCTTTGACGGGAACGCTACGCGCATATCATTGCGCACTCCGCTATTTGAGTTTCCATCAACAGACAACTGTCGTAGTTTTTTTCATCGACTACACACAGTTACGGCAGATTTGAGTCAGTAGCGTACGGCTTAATTTATTTTGTTTATTTCTTGAGTTATATATTTTATAGTTGTTGTTTTATTTTTGTTTATTGTGTGATATATTTGCTTTTTATAGTTATATTTTCGTTTCTTGTGTAATATAATTCATTTTGGTAGTTTTGTTTTTGTTTTTCTGAACATTTTTAAATCTTTAATATAGCAGTGATTTGATAGAGTAATTAGATAAATTTTTACGTGTTTTTACAATGCCTGGGCGAAGTTGTGCAGCAAAAAACTGCCCTAGTAGAGGACTAAACTGCAATAAAAGTTTCTTTCTGTTTCCTAGAGATCCTATTACGTATGTACCTAATACCCTGCTGGCAAGCAAAACCTTGGGTCGGCGTTTACATATATAGGAATGAATCGTTATGGCAATCTAGTATGTCGGAGAGAGCAAAAATACGAAGTATTTATTACATAACCAATTAATCTGACGCTAGATTCCATGCGCTTGGGAAAATACTTACCTTCTGTCTTTATTCAGTACATCTTATTTTGCTAAGCGTGTTGACCGTACTCTTCGTTCACACGAAAATCGGCACCCAAGACCAGAAATGCCAGCCCTCGTATACCCTGCTGGCAATCAAAAACTTGCGTCGGCGTTTACATGTATAGGAGTGAATCGCTATGGCAATCTAGTAAGTCGGAGAGAGCAAAAATACGAAGTATTTATTCAGTATGGAACAAATGGACGCGTAAGAAATTTAGGCGAAATTTCGCTTTTCCGCGCTCGTGAGGAACTATCTTAACTCGCTTTGGCGGGAACGCTACGCGCATATCATTGCGCACGCCGCTATTTGAGTTTCCATCAACAAAAAGTAACCACTGTCGTAGTTTTTTTCATCGACTACACACTGTTACGGCAGATTCGAGTCAGTAGCGTACAGCTTAATTTATTTTGTTTATTTCTTGAGTTATGTATTTTATAGTTGTTGTTTTATTTTTGTTTATTGTGTGATATATTTGGTTTTTATAGTTATATTTTCGTTTCTTGTGTAATATGATTCATTTTAGTAGTTTTGTTTTTCTGAACATTTTTAAATCTTTAATATAGCAGTGATTTGATAGAGTAATTAGTTAATTTTTACGTGTTTTTACAATGCCTGGGCGAAGTTGTGCAGCAAAAAACTGCCCGAGTAGAGGACTAAACTGCAATACAAGTTTCTTTCTGTTTCCTAGAGATCCTATTAGGTATGTACCTAATACCCTGCTGGCAAGCAAAGCCTTGGGTCGGCGTTTACAAGTATAGGAATGAATCGCTATGGCAATCTAGTATGTCGGAGAGAGCAAAAATACGAAGTAGTATTACATAACCAAAATACTTACCTTCTGTCTTTATTCAGTACATCTTATTTTGCTAAGGCGCGGTCTCTTCAGTTATAAATAAATAACTTTTATCTAACAAATAACCATCTAAAAGATAAACAATCTAGAGCTTGATATCTATAGGATATAACATTTGGGTATTTTCATACAAAATAATCCATTAGATAACAGTTTGGAGGACGGCCGCCTACGGACCGGTAGACACTCCGTAGAGAAAGTGTTGCCAATATAAGATATCTGAAATTGAGATGGTTATATATGAAAAGTCGATACAACAGACAGAGACAGAAACTCGGAATTTCAAATCGTTAGATTAAAAAGTGAGGTTATTGTTCAGTTGTCAAAAGATCGTCAAAATGAAAATAAAAACAATAAAATTCAACTAAAATATATTTTGTGTTCAACTCCAACTAGTCCTATTATGGTATAGGCTATTTAAATTTACCTTTATGGAAAAAGGGAAAGATAATTCAATTTCAGCAGTGGTGGTGGTGCAATAGATCTATTGATGGAATGCGATTTATAAGAAATTAAAACAAGAAAAAATAATCTGTAAGTAATTTATAGTTTAATTACATGATATTACTGTTATATTTATTATATTAACATTTTAGTACAATTGATAATAGAAAATATGGAAGAAGCAGGTAAAGTGCAAGCAGAGATTTATAAACCAATCCTAAAACCGCCATCTGGTAAGTTATTAATATTGAAAATTAAAAATAGCATAAGACTGTTAGTAATAACAAATATGTTGTTCTAGGGCTTCTCATAGTAAAGAAATAGGTAGGATAGCATCAATGATAGTAATTAAGTTGAGTTTTTATTTTATAAAATAGATAAATGCACTTATACTTTTGTCTTAATAATAATAAATGAATAGTACCTATAATAATTGCTACATTTACACATTATATGTACAAATTATTTAATAAAAAAAATTAAATAAAAACAATTTTGTCATATTACTTTTATTTTTAAGAACTCAAAGTGATGGAACTTCAGAAAAAAAAGAAAAAATAAAGGAAAAATCTTGTCTAAACAAAGTTGAACTAACTGGAATTCAAAGGACCACAATACAGATGTTTTAGCAAGGTTTAGCTAGAGAGTTACTTAAAAAACAGCACGGAGAAGAGATGTACCATATGATCGAAAAAAACGGCGTCAGCAATGGCTATGAAATAAAGATTGCTGTCATTTCATATGTAAATTTATATGGGAAATATCATCGATCATCATTTCCTAGCCAACTGGACGCCGTTTTTTTTTCGATCATACGGTATAAGGTACATAGTGCAAGAAATAAGTTAAAAGTTAAAAGGTTTTATAAGGTTCCTGTTATAATATGTAACAGTCAAATTTCCTCGCAACGACCTCTGTGTGCTAGCTCATAAATTATCGCAAATAACTATTATTTTTGCATCATGTTTACTATAATTTTATTGTTAAATATTATTTTATTTAGTATTTTACCATTATGCAACCGAATATACATCGCGATATTATACAAGCTACAGCTCAACTACCTCTACACTCCATAAGCTCAACAATATTGTCACTGGAAACGGCCGCCCAGCATTAGAATTTTTGTCGACCTCTCTATATCTTTGATCATCACTTGTAACTCGTCACTGTCAGATTAAATCGGATGTTTTTGGATTTATTGATCCTTTGTTTTGGTTATTGAAATTTTATAATTATCAGATAAAATTTCATAGTTAAATTGGTTATTTTTGATGTGGATCGCAGTGTGCAATTCGTTCTTTTAATTGTGGAATTTCTGAGTTTAGTTCGTTCATTGACCGGATATGAAATATGACAATGGAAAATATTCTAGAACATCGTTTTTTTATTTATGCCTTTTTGTGAGTTGGACTAGTCGAGATATATAGTTCTCTATCTATATCCTGGAGGGAGATTCCCGGTTGAAATCTGATTTTGTGAAGGAAATCGAATCCTTGCATCACTTCTTGTGTACTCCCCGGCTGAAGAGTGTTGTCGTGAAGAACTGGCTGCCGTTTCGTGAAGCATTCCCTGTTGGTGAATAGCAGGTCTTCGTAAAGAAGGATTAAGGCTTCCGAAACACATTTGGTCAGAGACGTGGTTGGATTTTGTTGAGTTTACATGGACCACCGACCAATTTCCGTAAGGGATTAAATAGCCAAATTTTTCCGACCGATATCCCGATTCCACGTGCCCAAGAAGTCCCCGAATAGTTCCAAGAGCAAGAATACCGATCCAGACCGTACAGCACAGAACAGTCCAGAATTCCATCCGTTCCTATTGCCCGTGTGTAGAGTTACTCGTTGGACATCATAAACCCTCGTTGAGGTAAAGTTCAGATTTGATTAGTCCTTCTTTATTACCTTTATTAACTCCTACACGTTGTGCTAGTCCTTGTTCGATAATTGAGACTCTTTTCTAAGACAACCAATATTATTTAGGGTTTTTATGTTCACCTTTTGAAGTCCTACACCTACCTTTCATCTGTACCCCTACTAACATCCGTGGGCCCCAGTGACATTCATAGAGCTGCTGTGCACCGCCGTAGCCACCCTGTAGCTATACACCGTAGCTCAGCCGGAGGAAGTTTTCAAGTACAATCGAATAAAGTAAGACTGTACAATTTTAGTTTAGATTTAGGCTGGTATTTATAGTTGCATCTCGAGACGCCAAGACGGTCTTGGGCTCTCGAGAGCGGAATCCACAGAATACACAAGCAAACGTCATTTTGGAGA